ATAAGCGCGACAGCTATAGACATTATGAGAAAATCCTTTCGTTGCAGGCCTGCGAAATCCGTTAGACCGATACATGTAGTCGTCGATCTCTAACAACCGAAGACGAAAGAGCGAATTGCTCATTCGAACGTAATACTCAGAATCTCAATAATCTCGTCAGGTAGATGTACTGTTTTTTCACTTTGATGAACATGTAATTGCCCTGATCAGACCAGGCTGGACAATCGTTTAAATTGACTCCGAGGTACTTGGCAGTGGAACTGTGTTACTGATCAGAAAATTTCATAATAGCAAGAAAATCCTATTTACTCTACAGCACTGTTTTAGAGTTAAATAAAAAGTTCTCTTCATGATGATCTAAATTAAAGAAAGCCTTTATAAAGCGCTATGGAACGTCCTTGTCATCGAGGACTTAGCGACGATTTAACATCTCTGTCGAACAGTCTACTTCGAACTTTCTGAAATCGTGCTATCATTTCGCTCTGATGGTAATCCATTACAATGCTATGCTTGCGATGTAACTTCTCTGAATCTTCTTGACTTAGTTATGCTTTATGGATTCATGATTAAGGGCATCAGACAACGCAGATGTTAACGCTTTTCTCCTAAACCGTTGATATTTATGTTGCTTGATGTCCTCAAGCGGAATCGACAAAACATCTGTAATTTCAGCCACAGACCGAAAATCGGAAATATCGTATGGTGACCACTTCCTGAACATAGTGATACGATAGCGGACGACAGTGAAGTACACCGTCGTCGAAAGAAGAAATGGGGGAAGCTACGGTGGGCTTGTACGTAATTCGGCTCACCGACAGATGATGATCGTCGGCTGGTATCGTGGCGAACAGATATTGCTATTTGCTAGCCTGCTACAACGGTAGGAACATTAAATTAGAACCGCAAAGGCCACGCTTAGAGAGGGAGGAGGCTTGAAACCGCGGGCGATTGTCGCCGATTACACACTGACCGGTCAAATCCTTGTATATAATATGGTTTCTTAACTTGTTTCAGTTCATCTCTGACAAACTGTTTTGATAAAAGTCCATAATTTATCTCGATATGAATTAAACAATATCAGGCATTTTGAACGTTGTTTTAAGCCTTCTGCTTTCTCCTTTGGATGCAACCGACACACCACAGTTAGTGGATCTGCCAGTTCATAAGAACAGTTTACGATAATCTGATTCGACCACCGTTTTCACGAGCAGTGCTCAACGAATGACTTTCCATTCCGTCACTGTGCCCAGCTTACAAATTCGATCCTCGCCTTCCGTTGCCACTCCCTTGTCGTCGTCATTATTTAATAGACATCGACGAAACAGCCTTTCGTTTCCTTCCGTCATTTCGCGCTTCTGCCTGAGCAGTTTTGGTTGTTGCTTGTTGCTTCTGCGTTTTGCACATTTCCAGCGCACAGACTATGCCTATGATGTAGTCCATGGTGTTGATCATCAACGCAGCATTACCTGACCGAATGTCTTGCAGGAATCAGCTTTCCTTGCATCCTTGCAAGCTTCCTCGTATCGCGTTCGAGGTTTGACACACGCGACTTAGATTTCAGCATGTAACTATTAATGCAAAGCAGTATAATACATGGTGAGAAAACAGTTAATTAAAAATGTGTTATTCAGTCTCTCCGCTTTATGCAGTTTTTAACAGAATATTGAACAGTGGCTTGTTTCTTATCATTATGATCTGCCACAGCGCGCGCAAACTAAAAATTATTCAAGTGTATGAATACAATGTACGGGACGTCCGTCCGTGTTCAATGGTAAACATAAGTGAGCCTGAGGGAAGCATATCCCTGCACTGCGTTTGCCGTTTGCTTTACGGAAGACCGCTGTTAGGTGGCGTGCGAATAGCATGGGAGCATTAAGTTTTCTATGTTCATAATTCGAATTTTTTCAGTTGCTCTCTGACGATGATTTGCATCATTCGGAAGTTACGTAAATCGGGGTCATATCCTACTCTTAGTGATTTTTGGCGTTTTACTCCCGCCACCGTTGTGCATGTACATATCTCTAAACAGTGTAATAACTTGAGAAGTGCGGGCGCTTTGACGGCGGATTACCGACGTTGTTGTACATGTTGCCGATGTTCCTGTTTCCTGGTTTCCGACTCTTGTTCTTGTTGATGACTGTTTTTGATTCTTTTGACGATTGACAACTGTTTCATAGATGCGTTTCGGCTCGTCATGACTAGCCTTAGCGTGTATCGAGACCAGCGATTCCAGGTTAGTGGCGACCGTTCGTATGGCGAAGGCGCATCGACTCAGGGCCGCTTTCAGGGTAACCTGCGGGAGCTGGAACGGTTGCTTTCGATCAGCTGTACGCTGTACGTCGGTAACATGTCGTTTTATACGTCCGAAGAGCAGGTTCACGAACTGTTTTCACGGGCCGGCGACGTCAGGCGCATCATCATGGGCTTGGATCGTCACAAAAAGACGCCGTGCGGCTTTTGCTTCGTTGAGTAAGACCGTGCCTCCTTGCGTGCGTGGTCGAGTCCGTCGATCGATGCGCCTCTCCGAGGCTGAGGGTGGTGACCGCCTCTGTATGCAGACGTCGACCAGGACTACCACCTTTCGTTTTGGTACGCGCGCGCATTCTTCATATGCTCTTATTTAGGTATTACAAACGATCCGACGCCGAGAACGCCATGT